AAAAATGCCTTCATGTGCGCACTGAGACATGTACAAGGATGTTGGCAGTAGCATCACTTGTGATAGCCCCAAAGGGGAAACAATTCAATGTACCATCAATGTGGATAAATACGTTGTAGTATATCTGTGCAATGGAATGTATAGAACCATGGTAGCCAAGGAACCTTGGCGGTAAGAGGCAACATGAAAGAGCTTATGAGCAAAATGTTGAGTGAATAAAGCCAGACACAATAGAATACATACTGCCCTATTCCACTATACAGAGACAAACCATACAAACTAATCTGTGTTGCTGTAACTAATCCGGGGGCTGGCGGGGGGGTTGTTGGACTGGCAAGGGGCTCGGGGGGCTTCTGAGGCTCTGGTAAATGACCTAGTTCTTGAGCTGAGCACTGCTTACTCAGGTGTGTTTGTTTTGAGAATTCATGGAACTTTGCGTGTTTATAGGTCTGTTATACTTCAGTAATATGTTTATTTAAAACATAACTTGGGTGACAGGAAGTCTGGGCCCTAGTCCTCACTCCTGTTAACTTGTGAGGGCCTCAAGCAAATAAACCTCTGTCTGGGTCCACTTTCTGCAAAATCGATGGCTTGGACCGGACCCCGGTTTGCAAATGTCATAGCCCAGAACCATCTCTGCAGACAAAGCCTTGCCTGAAATCTAAATATGAAACACATCACGGGGGTTGGGATGACATTGGGAATGACAACAGCCGAGGAGCTGTGGCTGCCGTCTGGGTGGGGCTTGAGGAGGCAGGCAGGAGCACCCCGATTGCATGCTCTGGGAGGGCTGCTGGGCTGCCTTTCCTGCACTGAGAGGTGACTCCAGGCTTCTAGCACTCAGCCTATGTGGATCTACTTCAGCACTTTATTGTTCTGTGATGGCTTCCTATATGACAGATTTCCTAACTCTGCTGTAAACTCTAACAGGGTTGACTGACTCTTTGGTTTTCCTCCTAGTGGCTGGAGAAATTCAGAAGCTACCCGATGACTGAAATGTAGCCATTCACATTTTAGTATGAATTCCTCTTATCAGATGTTCCCCCCTCCTACACATCATAGAGTTCAGTGAACTGGAGTTAGTGGAAGTGGAAGTGCAGGGATGGGGTGGGGATGGTGAGAGGGAGACGGAGTAAGATGGGAGTAAGATGAGAGTAAGATGGGCAAGAGGAAGGGAGTGGGAAGGAAAAGTAGCCAGATGGGAGGGCAGTGCACAAGTGGAGCAGCATTGAATCCTAATGCCACTTTCTGGGAGAAGCAGGGCCTCCTAAATCACAGGCGCAGCCCCTTCCCCAGGATCTCCACAGGCCAGCTGTCTACACCCAGCTTGCTCTAAAGTGCAGCGGGACTGGCCCGAGAAGCAAGCTCCTGTCTGGTGGGCTGGAAATGGTAGTGCCACAGGTCCCCTGCTCGGCACCCCCAGGCCCCCTCAGCACCTCTGCTTGGCTTCTTCCACAACAGGCTGGGACTAGGGAGCCTTGATTGTGGGGCCAGTGGAGGAAGGAGGTGAGGCCCCTTGTGCTCTCACTGTCTCAGCTGGACCGGGCCCAAATGTGGGTGAAGTTTGTCATCCAGTCTGGGTCCGGGGCCAGGAGGGCAGAGGGCCGAGTCTCTGCCAGGCGGCATACCGCATTTACCAATGCCCCGGGGGCCCTGCTCGCTCGGCAGTGGGGTCAGCCAGAGTGGCTCTCTGTCCCCATGAACCCATCCTGGGAACTTCAGGCTTAGGAAGCGGCCGTCGCCGAGCCCTGCAGGTTTTCGAGCCCCAGAGCCCCGAGCGCAGGTGTGTACCTGCGCATGCGCCCAGCGGCGTCCCAGCTGCCCCGGTCGGTAAGTGCCACACTTGCCGTGCTCATCGGGGACTTCCAGCCTGTCTCCTTGTGTGCTGCGGGAAGCACTGGGTGCCATAAGTGACCTCCCAGGGGACTTTTTAATCCTATGATAGCGAGCAGGAAGTCTGGAAACTACCTAGTCGTTGAGTATCCTAAAGGTTTATCTAGCTTCTTTGAGAAGGCCAAGCCAGTTCTTCATTCTCATAAGCAAAACAAACAAAAAAAGAGTTTTCAAGGCAGCTGAATGGCTGGTCATAAGCCGCATAGAAAAAAAAAAAATTGCAGATGCGGCAGGAACACCAACTCCAAAGTGTTCACTTGTTCTAGACTTGATTTCTTTTTTTTTTTTTTTTGCTCAGAAATCTCTCCAAAATACCTCCAGACTCCACTATGATTTTATTTGCTGATTGCTTCCCATGCATCTTTCCCTTGCTTCCTCAGCAAGGTATAAAATCTTTGCAGTCAGGCGCCATATATGGCTCCCTCTTCCTGCAGCACCAGCCCGAGGCTCGGTGCATGCTGGTGCTGTGGCTAGGCGTGGTGCAGCTGGAGCCTTTATTCAGCTAGCCACTGGACTTGCCTGAGAAGCTTTTAAGAAATTGCACAGCCTAAACCCCACCCAGCAGTTCTGATCTCATTGGTCTAGCATGGGCTTTGCAGACTGGGTATTTTTTTAAAAGTTCTCTGGATGATTCTTACACATCACAGATGTTGAAAACCAGCGACCTGTTTCATGGTTCAGACTAATCAGTGTTGTGTGTTCACTCTCTGCCACTCTCCCTCAATTATCCAGCATATCAGCCTGGCATCTCAGTTTATTGAAACCCAACACATAAAAAACCTGATTTAAATAGCCGGGAGGCCAAGTTCTGGCTTTGCATGCGGACTCCAGTGGAAGAAATATTTAGGTGACCAGACTGGGCCCCAGAGGGCTTCCTGGTGAAGTTGTGTCACATCTCCTATCTGCCCACAAGGCCTTCGAGCTCCTTCAGCGCATCCTCATTTGGCCCCCTCGTTGCTTTGGGAGGATTGTAGAAACAGCGGCTGGGTTAGTGGGTAATCCATTTAGAAGGCATCCCATGATGGGCTGTTTCTGCAGGTAGCTAAGCTCATCCACTTTGCACGGATGCCGTAGCATCCAGAGCCCACGTGTCCTGATCTTGGCTCCATATCCGGGGGTGCACGCTGTGGGGAGCCTCTGGCCCCTCTTTGCTGCGTAATACGTGTGTGATACCTAGTTTGAACCATAAATAACTGATTACCGTCTCCTGCTTGTGAGGCTCATCATTTTAGGTGGAGCCATCCAACTTGTACAACGTCTTGAGGGTCCCAGAGGTCACGACATGATATGGGGCCGAGCGGTTCAGTTTTCTCGTTCATACGGAAAGTGCTGAGCTGGTCCAAGTGGCCCTCTAATGAGGGCATGCAGCATCTCAGGGACAACACACAGGGGTCTCTCAGTGATGGGACCCGGTGGAAGAACTGACTCTGCCCAGTTTCCAAAAGAAGACCTTCTTTCTTCTGGAAGAAACCAGCAGGAGCTCTTTCAGTATTCTGTGTCATCCCATTGAACACCTGCAGCCATGTCAAAACTGCCTGTGCCTAGCTCTGTCCCTGGCTGACCCTGGCGGTCCCCGGTCAACCCTGGCTGTCCCTGGCTGACCCAGGAATTTCTCCTTTCCATACCTTTGCCCCAACTTCTGGTGTGGGCCTCCCGAGTTCTCTTTCACAACTGTCCCCTCACCAAAAAAAAAAAAAAAAAAAAAAAAAAAAGGGATCAGAAGAAGATACCCTCATTTATACTTGTTAACTGCGATTTGGTTAGTTGAGGGGCTGTGCTCCCGGGCAGCCCCCTCCTCTGGAATGACATAGGGGCTCCCGGGGGCCCCTCCTGCCTGAGGTTTCCTGGCAGACCTTCCTCTTTTCTTGCCCCCTTTCCCCAGATGTATATATGCATTCCCCCCAAAAAAGGTTGCATTTCTGGAGGCCAGTAGGGTACAGATCTCATCTGCATTGGAATCCCTGTTATGTGACCTGGTTTAAGAGTTTTACCTCTCTCAGCCTGCGTGTCCTTCTCCGGAAAATACTGACACTTACTTATCAGCAAGTTGTTGGGAAAATGTTTGCAAAATTTGAACACAGGGTCTGGCCCAGAATCAGCGCTCAGTAGATGGTGGCTGTTTTAATAATGACTGCTGTTAGGATTATAAAGTAGTTACTATAATATTACCATATTTTAATTACTATAAAATATACAGGAAGGCACACACACAAAACAAGAACGAAAGTTGCCTCTATTTCAGCCACCTGGATGTATCATTTTTGAGGTGTAGAAACACCCAATAAATTTTAGAAAATTGAGATTCCACTAGCATTACTTTTATGTGTAATTTCCTTGTCACCATGGTTTGCTGTTAGGAGTACACCTTTTGGATAGTGCCTTAGAGTTCTCAAAGAATTCGGTCACATTGAAAATGCCACCATTTGTGTCCTGTGCCATCTGTGTGTACCGGCTTTTATCTTATTCCCTGGTGATGAGTTTCTGGTGACTCACGTTAGCACTGTGCCATCGGATAGGGTCCTCTTCATCTACGATGGCGCTTTGACCTTGATTTAAGCGCACCAAAGGACGCCCCTGTAGACAGTGCTCTGCCTCTCCATCCCCTGAGAGTTCTCTCTCATTTGGAGTGAGGGCAGCCTTCCTCACACATCTTTGCTAGTCCAGCCTCATGTTTCTGCCTTCTTTGGGGTGTCTTTCCAACTCTTGGGGCGGCGATCTGGGGCATCCCTGGGCCAGGAGGACACTGAATGACTCTGCCCAGTTTCCAAAAGACCAAAGCGAAGGGAGAACTCCTTCAGAAGGCAGACTGTGATCCCTCCAGAAGAGACCAGTCCCTTGAAGCAGACATAAGCCAGGAGAGGCCATTCCCAAGCCTGCCCAGAGGCCAGTGCCCACTGCCCACCTCATGCAAGGCCTTGGTGGTGGGTGCCTGACATGCTGTTCCTTCAGCTTCCTCCTTCTGCGGAAGGCCTGGATAAAAGTTAAAAGTCAAGCAGCATGGGAGGGGGTATGCTCTAAGCCATTTAGCAATCATAGGATCTAACTGGAATGGGGGGCAAATTCTTTTTTTTTTTTTTTTAAAGATTTTATTTATTTATTTGACACAGAGAGAGAGAGCACAAGCAGGCAGAGGGAGAGGGAGAAGCAGGCTTCCCGCAGAGCTGGGAGCCCGACGTGGGGCTCGATCCCAGGACCCCAGGACCATGACCTGAGCCGAAAGCAGCCGCTGAACCGACTGAGCCACCCAGGCGCCCCGGCAAATTCTTTTCTGAAAGCAAGTTTACTAAGGGTGGAGAGAACAGACCATAAAAACTATTCATTGATGGGGTGAGGAGGGTGTTGGAGGATCTCATTTGTCTTCCGTCCGGTGTGGCTGGACCAGTACTCAGTCTGAAGGCGACTCCGTGGGGTTCTGAACTCACCTGTTCACAGTGATGTCGTCTTGCTGACTCCCTGCAAGAGCAGGAGCCCTGGCCGAATTTTCTGGGGTGGCCCCAGTGAGGCTACTGGTGGCTTACCTTGCTTTCAGGGAGACAAGGTGGCCAAAATCAAAAGTTTTTGGTGGTGTTTTTTATGATATAAAATAGAGAAATGATTTTAAGTAGAACTACTCTCGATTATATTATTAACGTTTTAATTACGAAGTTCGTATTAGTAAAATTTTGATGAAATTCATGATACATTCACCAGTTAGGAATGCTTTTGGCTGTATAACTAACAGATTACCTGACCAACAGTAGCTTAAACCAGAGGAATGTCATTTATTCTTTACCATAAAGCACTGGTCACACTTTCTTACCCCATGCACAAAAATAAACTCAAAATGGATGAAAGACCTAAATGTGAGACAGGAATCCATCAAAATCCTAGAGGAGAACACAGGCAGCAACCTCTGTGACCTTGGCCACAGCAACTTCTTGTTAGACATGTCTCTTGAGGCAAGGGAAACAAAAACAAAAATGAACTGTTGGGACTTCATCAGGATAAAAAGCTTCTGCACAGTGAAGGAAACAGTCGACAAAACTAAAAGGCAACCTGTGGAATGGGAGAAAATATTTGCAAATGTCTTATCAGATAAAGGGCTAGTATCCAAAATCTATGAAGAACTTATCAAATTCAGCACCCCAAAACCGAAAAATCTAGTCAAGAAATGGGCAGAAAACATGAACAGACACTTCTCCAAAGAAGACATCCACATGGCCAACAGACACATGAAAAGGTGCTCAACATCGCTCGGCATCAGGGAAATCCAAATCAAAACCTCAATGAGATACCACCTCACACCAGTCAGAATGGCTAAAATTAACAAGTCAGGAAACTACAGATGTTGGCAAGGATGCGGAGAAAGGGGAACCCTCCTACACTATTGGTGGGAATGCAAGCTGGTGCAGCCACTCTGGAGAACAGTATGGAGGTCCCTCAAGAAGTTGAAAACAGAGCTACCGTATGATCCAGCAATTGCACTACTGGGTATTTACTCCAAATATACAAATGTGAAAAGAAGGGGCACCTGCACCCCAATGTTTATAGCAGCAATGTCCACAATAGCTGAACTGTGGAAAGAGCTGAGATGTCCACTGACAGATGAATGGATAAAGATGTGGTGTATTTATACAATGGAATATTATGCAGCCATCAAAAAACGAAATCGTGCCATTTGCAATGATGTGGCTGGAACTAAAGCATATTAGGTTAAGTGAAATAAGTCAGTCAGAGAAAGACAAATACCATACGATTCCACTCATACATGGAATTTAAGAAACTAAACAGATGAACATAGGGGAAGGGAAGGAAAAATAAGAGGAAAACAGGAAGACAAACCATAAGAAACTTTTTAAAAAAATTTTTTTATTGTTATGTTAATCCCCATACATTACATCATTAGTTTTAGATGTAGTGTTCCATGATTCATTGTTTGTGCATAACACCGAGTGCTCCATGCAGAATGTGCCCTCCTCAATACCCATCACCAAGCTAACCAAGTTTGTTTTTCCGAGTCCATCGTCTCTTATGGTTCATCTCCCCCTCCGATTTCCCCCCCTTTATTCTTCCCCTCCTACTACATTCTTCTTCTTCTTTTTTTTTCTTTCTTAACATATATTGCATTATTTGAAGAAACTCTTAATCATAGGAAAAAACTGAGGGTTGCTGGAGGGGAGGTGGGTGGGGGGATGGGGTAACTGAGTGATGGGCATTAAGGAGGGCACTTGATGGAATGAGCACTGGGTGTTATATGCAACTGACGAATCACTGAATTCTACCTCTGAAATGAATACTACAGTATGTGTCAATTGAACTCAAATAAAAAATTTAAAAATACATTCTGGTTCAATGGGTTATCCAAATAAAAAAAAAGGAAATAAAATTATATCACTACTTATATCATACACAAAGTAAATTCCAGTTGGATAAGCCTTCGGTGGGCTCCATGCTGGGTGTGGAGTCTACTTAAAAATTTTTTTGGGGGGTCTTGATTTAGCTCTATTTTTAGAATGCGATCCCCCGGGAGAAGGAAGAAGTGTCGGGGAAACAGAGAAGGGCAAGGATGCCCGTTGGGATGTGGCAATCCCAACGTTGCGCGCACCACACCACACAAGCAGGCCTTGCGACATAGCGCCAGTTCGCAACTTTCTCCACCGCGGGCTCCCCTCGGCGCGTCCCCGTGGTGCACTTCGCCTACTCAGCAGAGGGTGGTCTGCTGGCCAGTTTCTGTTCTCACCAGAGTCCAGGGGCAGGAACCTCAGCTGTTTGAACCTGGGCTCTTCCCCTCATTTGGAATATGGGCTGGGGGCATGTCGTCAGGGTGCGGTGGAAACCCAGGGATGGAGGCCACATCACAGCGTGGTCAGGCCCGGAGGAAGTGCATTCAGCCGTCTGAATCACCACTTTGGGGTGGGCTGGGACAGACAGTTCGAAACTTCTGATCTTCGTACATTTGTGGAGTACTTCACAGTCTTTCCGAGAGCGTTTTCATCCATATCTGATCTGATCCTCATAAGCACGGTCCCTGGAGCAGTCCAGTTTCCAGTCCACGATGGGAGCCCCCCTGGGTCACTGTAATAGGACCACTCTTCATCACACAGACCTATACTGAACACCTCCCGTGTGCCCGAGGTTTTCGCAGGCTCTGGTGTCACCAGGATGAACAGCTGTCCCTGTTTTGAGCTGCTTAGAGTCTGGTAATTATGATTAAGTTTCTATTTATATTTCATCGAGAACAGTTTGGATCACTGGAGAGTGGAAGAGATGCTGAGAGACCATCTAGGCAGCTCATCAGTGGACGAGGGAACTGAGGTCCAGAAGCTCTGTGGCCTGGTGTAGCTGCCTCGGCGGCAGGGTCCAGGCTCCTCGCTCCCAGGCCGGGCCCCTTCCTCCCCCACTCCCACTGGCTAAGCTTGGGAGATCAGACAAATCTGGTTCCCAGTAGTCGAGATACGAAACCTAGATCCTCCATAGGTTCCCGAGAACTGCTTTTTGTCATAGTAATTTCAAGTGCCTCGCTCATTTCGATATTTATTATAGGTCCAATGGCGTCACTCCATTAACTTCTCCCTAGAACCGGATGCTTTTAACATCACGAGACACTTTCACGCTTTTAGTGGGCTTTGCTTTGTGTGCTGTGTGAAGACCGTGTTACACTGTTTTCAAGCCCAGGAGTGAGCTGCTTAGCCTGAAGATTGTAGGTTTTCATGGGAACATGACAGTTGCTTACAGATACTGGAGAGCAAGCCTCTCTTGCTGGAATGGGGTACAGGCTTGTTCTGTCCCCAGCAGCAAAATGAGAGCCCACGGGGGAGAGTTACGGGAAGAGGTGTTTGGCTCAGTGTAAGAAAGTCTGGCCAACAGCACTGTCTAAAAAGGGATCAAGCAGCCTGAAGCTGCAGGTTTGAGCTGAGGCTCTCCAGGAGGGCTGTCAGAGAGGGGTTCCTAGATTCAGGGGGGAAATGGCCTGAGGGACATCCGAGGTTTAGATGGAGCAAGGTGAGCTGGTTCATTGCTGGGAACACCTCCCAGTTGCTGCTCCTCATTTAGAGGCTATTCCAGCAGCAGCAGATGCCCAGGTGAGGGCAGGTGGAGCAGCTTGGAGCTTGAAAGCCCTTTGCTACCCCTGCCTTAGCCATTCAGCCACGTCTAGCCTGCAAGTCTGAAAAATATCATTTAGCCAGGCAGCTAAAAACGGGCTCTGCTGTGAAGGAAGACGGGATGCATGATGGTTAATTTTATGTGTTGACCTGACTGCACCAAGGGATGCCCAGATCGCTGGTAAGACATTATTTCTGGGCACGGCCATGATGTTTCTAGAAGAGATTACATTTGATGTGAGGGGTAGAGTAAAGCAGATGACTCTCCCCACTGTGGTGGGGCATCATCCTATCCACTGAGATCCTGAATGGAACAAGAAGGTGGAGGAGGGGTAAATGTGCTCTGTCTGCTTGAGCCAACACATCCATCTCCTCCTGTCTTTGGACATTGATGCTCCTGGTTCTTAGGCTTTCAGACTCAGACTGAATTACACTGGCTTTCCTGGTGCTCCAGCTTGCAGGTGGCATATCGTGGGACTTCTTGGCCCCCAGAACCATATGAGCCAATTACTATAATATCTCTTCTCATACATACATGCTTTCAACCTTAAAAATAAAAATAACCAGGGGCGCCTGGGTGGCTCACTCAATTAAGCGACAGACTCTCAGTTTTGGCTTAGGTCATGATTTCAGGGTCGTGAGACTGAGCCCTGTGAAGGGCTCTGCACTCAGCGTGGAGTCTGCTTGAGCTTCTCTCTCTCCCTCTGCCCCCTCCCCCTGCTTATGTGCTTGCTCTCTCTTTCTTGCAAATAAATAAATAAAATCTTAAAAAACAAAACAAAACCCAGGTAGTTTACCAGCAAAATGAGTTTATTTGGGAATAGCAGAGCAATTGCAATTTGGGACATGCACACTGTGGTAAATCACAAGCAAACCTGGAGAACAAGGGAGGGGAGCATTCTTTTATGGAGAAGAGAGGGGAGTTGGAAGGGCTGGTTTTGTCAAAAGCCCGATCCATGGGAGGAAACTGGGAGTTTGAAGTGTAGTGGCTTCTCATTGGCTAGGCTGTTGCTGGACAAGGAGAGAAAGCTCCCTTAGTCCTCTGGGGATGTAAAGTCCACCTCTTCTTGCCCAGGAATGTGGAATAAGCTGCCCAGGTGGTGCGTGCTCAAGAGCCCCCCCTTCTGGGCCTCCTGACTCCATTTAAAATGTTTCCCTTCCTTAATTTTCACCCACCCTCCGTCACTCCCTCCTTCTCTCTCTCTCCTTCCTTCAAGAGCCCTAACTAATACAGGAAGTAATGAAACCTCCCAAATATGTGATTGATTTCACTGCATGGGAAGGAATGGACAAGGAGGAGGAACCGGGAAACTGTCCATTTTCTAATGTCGGCGCCAGCACCTGGTGTAGGGTTCAGAGAGAGGCAGATTCTGTAGAAAGCTGAAGGCTCCGTCTGCACAGAGCTCTTGGCCACCAGATACTGCATGTACCACGGGCCAGGTCCTCTGCTCTGCACTGTGCATAACCCTCTGTTATAGGTGGTGGGCATTGTCCCTGATTTATAGCCGCATGAAGTCACTGCCGCCGTGCCTGGTGAACCCGCTTGGTGTGAAGTGATTTGTTGGAAGTCCTCAGACTCTGCCTCTCTACCGCCACCGCTCATGCTCTTGGTGCCCTGGGCCTCGGTGGGGAGCTCTGGGCCGACCATGGCTTCTCCAACTATCTCAAGTCTCTTGCATTTGCTTTTCCCTACTCTTCCTATCATGCTCTTCTCCTTGGTCTAGTTAACTACCCTGTTGTAACTTTAACAGGTTTCATAGCTTCATTTCTCAGCTTTCTGTCTCTCATCTAACTGTCATTGATTTTTTTTCCTTTTTTTATTGAGTTAAAATCACATAATATAAAACCATTTTATTTTTAAAGTTTAATTTTACTTAAATTCAACTAATTAGCATATACTATGTTATTAGTTTCAGAGGTAGAGGTCAGTGATTCATCAGTTGCATAGAACACCCAGTGCTCATTACATCATGTGCCCTCCTTCATGCCCATCCCCCAGTTACCCCATCACCCACCCACCTCCCCTGCAGCAACCCTGTTTGTTTCCTAGAGTTAAGAGTCTCTTAGTGTTTGTCTCCCTCTCTGATTTCGCCTTGTAAAACCAACCATGTTAAAGTGCACAGTTGAGTAACATTTACACATTCACAGTGTTGAGCAACCATCACCTCTGTCATCACTCCAAAAGGAAGCCCCATCCCCATGAAGCAGGCCCTCCCCCTTCACCCCTTCCCCCAGGCACTGGCTGTCACAAATCTGCCTTCTGTCTCTATGGATTTACCAATCCTAGAGATTTTATGTCAGTGGACTCATGTGATACATGACTTTTTGTGTCTGCTTCCTTTCACTTAGCATAATCGTATGAGTTTGCTTGGGCTGCTCTAACAAACTATCATGGGGGGCTTAAACCACAGAAATTTATTTTCTCACAGTTCTGGAGGCTGGAAGTCCAAGATGAGGTTTGGTGTTTCCTGGGGCCTCCCTCCTTGGCTTGTAGATGACCACCGGCTGGCCGTGTCCCCGTATGGTCTTTCCTCTGTGTGCACACATGCCTGGAGTCTCTGTGTGCCCAAATTTCTGCTTCTCGCAGAGAAATTCATCAAGGTGGGTTGGGGCCCACCCTAACCTCATTTAACTTAATGACTTCTTTAAAGACACTATGTCCAAATACAGCGACATTCTGAGGTGCTAGGGGTTAGGGGCCAACATAGGGGTTTTGGGAGAACACAGCTCCGGTCCATTGCCGTGATGTTTCAGGATTCATCCATGTTTCAGCATGCTTCAGTACTTCCTTCCTTTTCATGGCTGAAGAGTATTCCATTGTATGGATGGACCACGTTTTGTTTATCCATCCATCCGTTGATGGACACTTGGGCTTTTGGCTCTTGTGAATAATGCTGTTATGCCCACTGTCTCTTTACACAAGGAGGTTCCCGGCATTGGGGGATGATGGGTGGGAGAGGAGAGCCAGGTAGCGTGTGTAATACTGTCCCAGACACTGGGTGGTAAGTGGCTGGGTGCACATTCAATGTCCAGCCTGCCATATCAGGGTACTGCGGTGCCACCATCCCCCTGAAGCTGGTGCACAGGTCTCTGGCGACGAGCTGTGTTGTTGTGAGCTTGCCGCGGGGATGGTGGAGGGCTGTCAGGCTGCCTGCGTGTTTCGCAGGCTTAATCACCGTCCAGCTGGTTGCACACTATTCTTGGCAACTCTGATCCACGATGATGGATGAGTGATGGCTGAGTAATCATCTTCTTACTGATGAAGAAACAGCCTGAACTATCAAGAACAATAATGCCGGGGGTTGTCCAACTTATCCTCCTTGAACAGACCTGTGTACAACTTATCTAGTGATGCACTCTGAAAATCTTTCACCTTCTGTAAGTCACATAGTCTTTTTCTTAGCAAAGGTGAGTTTTCTCCTGTTTCTTTTTCACCTGTGATTGGAGAGAAAGTGTCATGAGGGTCATGGAAGACCCTTACGCAGGGAGACATCTGGGGTCAGTAGTAGCCATGGTTTCTCTCTACCCAGAGATGTTACATTGGTTGATCTGGGTCTTACCACACTCCTGGATGTTTTCTTCAATCTCTTTGTTTTGTATCTGTGTCTATAAAATATCGTCATTGAGAAACTACTCTGGCAAGAAACAAAGCCATGAGTGTTCCCAGGCATATCTCCATGCTGACAATGAAAAGAAGCAAGATGACGGCGGCAGAAAGAAACCTGGCTGACCCCTCAGCCGTGCCTTCTCAGATGGCTGGCTTGGTGTGGGTCTGGTCCTCAGATTTTTCTCTTTAGAATTGGATTTTAGGGACGCCTGGGTGGCTCAGTCGGTTAAGCATCTGCCTTCGGCTCAGGTCATGATCCCAGGGTCCTGGGATCGAGTCCCGCATCGGGCTCCCTGCTCTGCGGGGAGCCTGCTTCTCCCTCTGCCTCTGTCTCTCTCTCTGTCTCTCATGAATAAATAAATAAAATCTTAAAAAAAAAAAAAAAGAATTGGATTTTAGCAGTGCGTCCAGAGATAGGCAAGCTTTGGGAGACTGAGTCACAAACCAAAGTGGTCAGAGAATGGCATGTAAATATAGATTGCCCACTTGATGCATTTCCAACTGTGGGTTGGAGTAGACCATTGAAGGCAGCTCACCTGTGAGTTCTCTGTGAGAGAAGACAAATGGTAATTCTGCGAGAGGAGGTTAAGTGGTAGTTCTCTCTGCGAGAGAAGGGGAGTGATAATTAGAAGGCTGCTGTGCATGGTGGACCAGAGACAGGAGAAAGTGGGTTACTGTATTGGCTATACTCGAAGAGCTAAGGCAGCCTGATACATCGGTGTCTCAATGAATTGTCCATTAATTTATTCTCACTGCAGATGATAACTTTTTTTTCATGATATGAGGGGCCCCTACTGCTTCATATGGCTCAGTTACGGGTTCCAACATCCAGCTCTTTTTCTGCCCCACCCCCCTCTTGTTTTCAAGCCTTCGAGAGAAATTTTCCAGAATAAAGCTTTCTGGTTCGCCTTCCTCTTTCAGTTTCACAAGGATAAACATTATTTGGGGGAGGTGTGGAGGAGAAATTGAGAGCCAAGTTGTTTGAAACAGATCTCCATGCAGGAGCCTGTTTCTTGAGCTGTCATTCACCCCCTCTTCCTTATAAATCCAGATCAGAGGTTCTGGACCTTATGATTATTTCAGGGTCCCAAGATCATTGCCTGCATGTTATAACCTGTTCTTAACACAGCAACCAGAGGCCAGTCTTTAAACAAGTTCTCATTCGGTCAACCCATGAGAGCCTACCATGGGTGTGCCTCTGTTCCAGGCACTCAGGATGGAGACATCAGTGAACATGAATGTATCCATGAATATGGCCTCCCTGTCCTAGCGGGTCATTCGTTATATTGCTCAGTCTTCTTTTTTTATTTTTTTAAAAGATTTTATTTATTTATTCGACAGAGAGAGAGACAGCGAGAGAAGGAACACAAGCAGGGGGAGTAGGAGAAGGAGAAGCAGGCTTCCTGCGGAACAGGGAGCCCGACGTGGGGCTCGATCCCAGGACCCTGGGATCATGACCTGAGCTGAAGGCAGGCGCTTAACCAACTGAGCCACCCAGGCGCCCAAATGTATTGCTCAGTCTTCTTATCGCCCTCCAGTGGCTTCCTAGCTTTCTCAGAAGAGGAACCAGCCTTCCAGATCGATCTATAAGGTGCTCCACCTACCTCCTCACGCTGAAGCCCTCCCTGTTCCACCCACCCTGGCGCTATCCCACATCAAGATCCCACTCCAGAGCCTTTGTTCCTATTTCCTCTCCTTGGACGGCTCTTACTCCAGATGTCTAGAAGGGAGATCGAAGACGGCTAACATATGGAACGTAAAAGAGCTCAGTGTGTAACAACGTAACGTGGAGATGACGATATTTTGGATTTATGACGTTAACTAAAATATATTACTGATGCTAGTTTCACCTGTTTCTTTCTACTACTACAAAATCTTAAGCTAAGATTGTAGCTCCTGTGGTATGGCATAGAGATGTCAGGCTATTGACAACCTGGGTGAAGCAACCATTCTGTAAAAATGTATTACTGACAATAGAAATTTGAGATTTATCTAATAATTTGGATAATGTTGGAGACGTAGGAGTATTTCTTCTTTCTTTCTTTCCCTTTACTAATAAATTAGGACATTCTAAGACCTTTGGCAAGTACACAAAAGCCCAAGGTCTCCTTCACCTCTTTTTTCTTTTTTTTAATGCTGATGCAGTTTCCTTTCACAAAACTGTTACTTCTTTATTTTTTTTTAAAAATTTAAATTCAATTAATTAATATACAGTGTATTATTAGTTTCAGAGGTAGAGTTTAGTGATTCATCAGTTGTATATAACACCCAGTACTCATTCCATCGTGTGCCCTCCTTAATGCCCATCACCCAGTTACCCCACCCCCAACCCACCTAACTTCCAGGAACCCTGTTTGTTTCCTAGAGTTAAGAGTCTCTTATGGTTTGTCTCCCTCTCTATTTTCCTCCCTTCCCCTATCCTCTGTTTTGTTTCTTAAATTCCACATACGAGTGAAATATTATAATTGTCTTTCGCTGACTGACTTATATCACTTACCATAATACCCTCTAGTTTTATCTTTGTCGTTGCAAATGGCGAGATTTCATTTTTTTTTGATGTCTGAGTAATATTCCATTGTATATATATACATATCTTCTTTATCCATTCATCTCTCGATGGACATCTGGGCTCTTTCCATATTTTGGCTCTTGTGGACATGGCGGCTATAAACTTTGGGCTATTTGTTTTTCTGCGCCATGAGCCTTTCCTACATCGTAAGGTGAAGGCTCTCCAGATGTGCCTGCTGGAGTACAAAGATGTGTGAATCTCTGCGGGGCTGGCTTTGTTTTCATCTGTTAAATAGCACCTTCCCTTGTAGGATCATGTGAAAGCTTTTAGGTATGAATCCTCACAGCAGTTTCTGAAGATGATTCTGCATCTTATTTCCATACCATAGCATTTCAAGACCGTCATCAAAAACCACTTGGATTCAAGATTTTGTTGTTAGCATTGTTATTGGGAAGGCAATTGCATGTCCCACTTGGAAGGCGATTGAAATGGGAGAGGCTTGAAAGACTACCAGGCTCGTTGAAGATCATGTTTTTTATTCCTTGGCTCATTAGCTATGTGATCACAAGCAAGGAATTGAATATTTCTGAGCCTCAGTTTCCTTAACTATAAGGAACAAAAGGAGGAGTGAGTGAGTTTGTGTGTGTGCGTGCATGCACACTGGGGGGACACTATGAAATTCCAGAGTAATTCGTAATTCTGGCAAGGACCACATCTTACTTGTCCTTATCCTCCCTGGTACAGTGGCTCTCGGTGAATACTTGTTGAATGTGGGAAGAAATCAGAGATGTTAACTTCATTCCATGTGTCCTCTTGGACTCAGAGAAAAACTGAAGAACCATGAGATGGATATGAAATTACCAGCTGATCTGCCCCCATTATGTGCAAACGTTTCTTACTGTTCCCAAGGGACCTCCCCACAGCCTGCATTTACCTACCACTTCTCTCTTCGTTCTGTTTTTATTCTCAGACATGGACATTTCCCCCTCTGGTCTTAAGTTACAAGCTCTTGGGCGTGGGAGCTTTTTTCTTTGTAATACTCAGCATGAGGCTGGGCACACAACACCATGATGACAAGCTATTTGCCCACCCACTTCTCTTCCCTGGCGGGACCCAAAGATCATTGAGATCCCAGCACAGTTTGCTCCTTGCAGCAGCTGACACACAGTCGCTGCTGTGAGTATGTAATAAACGCTAGACACCAGAAGATGGGCAGTGAGCTTCTCAAATCGTCCCCCATCCTTGTGCTCTGTTCCCCTTAGGGAAAGACAGGGTCAGCGAGGACCTCTTGGAGCCCTCAGCTGAACTCTGCATGATTGTCTTTCCCTTATTTTGTTTTAGGCGTGCACATTGGGGACAAACTACAAACCCATTGATATTTTCCCGAAGATCTATGCAAAGCCCAGAAATAGAATCCTTTCCCCCTAAATTAAAACACAGCTTGAGCTTGATTCTGTTTTTCCACAGGTACAGGATTCATGCAAATTCTGTTTGTGTATGTGTGTCATTTGCAAGAAGCTAAGATGTTAGGAACATATGCAAATCACCACAGAGTTCTTGACTACCTCTCTGCCAGTTCCCTTCTCCCTCAATGCCTGGACTGACACAATCTGGGTCTTTGTTTTATGCAGGATTTGAGGAAACTGAACTCTCACTGATTTTAAATATTTTGTTTTCTTAAAGTTTTTTGTTTGGAAATATAAGAAGTTACAAAATAGTTCGTAGAGTCCCATGGACCCTTCACTCAGCTTCCTCTGTTGGGGACATCTTACGTGACTGCAAATATCAAAACCAGGAAATTAACATTGGTATGATCCCGTGAACTAGACTTTAGGGTATCTGGTTTTTAAAAAGCACAAATATTTTGAAGTCACAAAATAATACTTTTAAAACACAAATAATTTATGTCCTGGTCTTGGGTGAGGAGGTCGACCAGGAGTGTAAGATACTCTGAGAGCAGTAGCTAGGCTTGATGCTGGGTAAGAAACACCGACAGGCAGTTTTAAGAGACTGGTCCCAAGCTCAGGGGCGTGCCCTAAGGAAAGTGGAGAAACACAGCCTGGGCGGAGGGAGATGGGAACTTGCTGTAGGGTTCAGTGGGACTTGGGCAGCCCACTTTTCATCTCTTCACCCAGACCCCCGGCTGTGGCCACTGAGGAACGTTGTCACAGCCTCATAATGAGACATGTAAGTCCACTTGATGGGAGACAAGGATATGACACTGGCAGAAACAAAGCGATTTTTTTTTTAATAGTTGCTTTTTTTTTTAAGACTTTTTTTTTTTTATTTGACAGAGAGAGACACAGCGAGAAAAGGAACACAAGCAGGGGGAGTGGGAGAGGGAGAAGCAGGCTTCCCGTGGAACAGGGAGCCTGATGCGGGGCTGGATCCCAGGACCCTGGGATCATGACCTGAGCCGAAGGCAGATGCTTAACGACTGAGCCACCCAGGTGCCCCACAAAGCGATTTTTTAAATAGACTTTATTTTTTGGAGTCTTTGGTTCGCAGCAAAGTTGCGAGGAGCGTGGAGTGCTGTCGTATATCCCTGCCCCACATGTGCACAGCCTCCTGCATTGTCCACATTACTCGCCAGTGGCGCATTTTGACTAAGGATGAACGTGCGCTGACGCGTCATCATCTCCTAAAGTACCTAGTTTACCTGGGGGCTCACTTTTGGTGTTGTGCCTTCTAGGACTTTGGATAAATGTGTAATGATGCATATCCACCATTATAGTACCCGTCAGAGTAGTTTCACTGCCCTGCATCACCCCGTGTTTCTCCTGTTAACTGTTTCTCCCCCCTAGCCCTTGGCAAACCATTGATCATTTTACTGCCTCCATAGTTGTGCGTTTTCTAGCACGTCATGGAATCATACCATGTGGAGCCTTTTCAGACTCTGCATAATATGCACAGAGGTCTCCATATCTTTTCATGGCTCGATGGCTCATTTCTTTTTTAGTGCTGAATGATACCCCGCTGTCTGGATGGCCCACCGTTTATTTATCCATTCACCTCCAGAAGCACATCTTGGCTGCTTCCACTTTTTGGTGATTATCAATAGAGCTGCCGTAAACCTCCCTGGGCAGGTTCTGAGTTGGGTTTTCTACCCCCTGAGGTGGCATCGTGCGGGCATCTGTGTCTGTGTTCCCATTGACGTACGAGTGACAAACATAAAAAATTACCCTCTCTCTTGTTTTTGGATGGATGGTGAGGTAAGGCTTTATTTCAGTCTTTTATTTGGTGTCTCATTTCACTCTCTCAGACATGGGATTGTTAAAGGAGCAAATGACGACACGTTGTGTCTAATTAACAACTTCTGATGGCTCCCAGCCTGCTGCAGCTTGTCCTCTCATTCTCTCGCTGGGGAGGAGGTGGGTATGGCACGGTTTAAAGGTTGCAGTCTGGCTAGCTGGCACAAGATCTTGCAAGTGGGGTTCGCTTCTTGCTGTTGTTTAGCCCCATCGGGGAACGGGGGTAAGGGTTAGATGACGTTGGCCAAGAGGGAAGAGCGTGTCATGGAGAAAACTGTTTCCACCATCTTTCTCTGAGTCTCCGCCTCGCTAAAGAATTCTCTATGAGCACCTGCACCAGGCATTACTGTACAAGAAGGTCTTTCTCTGTTCTTTTCTGTCCGGCAGCTCAGAGGTTCTGGGCGAGAAGGTCTGAGGTACAGTGCAGTCTTCCCCTTCACCAGCCTCCACTCAGCACCCTGGGGTTAAACTGTGCCCATCACGAGTCCCCTGGGGAACTATCAGATGTCTGTGTCAAGTCAGGGAAAAGATTTAATAACCGGCAGTCTTGACCTTTGACCTAGTTCCTTAACCCCTCTCATCTCTAAACTTCCCCTTCCTCCATTAAAACAAAGGGCTGACTCATCTGGAAGGTTCCATCTAGGCTTACTTGTGCCCTGGACCATGGAATCTTCCCCAGTACTTGGAGCTGTCCTGTCTGCCAGATCTCACTTTATTACAGACGTTTTTATATCCTCTGCAGCCGTTTCTGAAGGACTGCGCGTCTAATCCCCAGATTGGTGACAGGGGAGTTGGTAGAGGATGGACCCATTAGCAGAACTAGGGAAAGAGTTAGGAGGATGTCTAAATCAGTAAACTCTGAACTAGTACATTCTTGGAATTCAGTTGCAGTGGGGTTGTTTATAAACGGTTCTGCAGTGAGGCAATTTTGTCCTCATAAGCACACTACCCTAATGGACTTGAGGGTTGTGAATGCCACACCCGTTCTAGCTGTCCCCTTGCTTTATTCTCAAGCGTGAAGTCTTCCTTGAACCCCACCTATTCCCACATTGTTTGCACTTAGACCTCAGAAGCTAGGGGGTTAAGTGAACTTCCGTTTGCCTGTCCCCCCATCAGGTGCAGGCGGTGATGAGGAAGAATTTCCTCTTTACTCCGGAGCCATGGACACACAAGCCCAAGGCATTGTGGACACACAGGCAGGGCAAGTGAGGGGTCTGGTGGCTGGTGCCAGTGCTTACTGAGGGACTTCAACTGCCCCCTGCTCTCAGACCTGGACCCTGCCAGACACATTATCTAGGTCAGGACGTTAAAGACGGGCCTCCCTTAGCGAGGACCCCACTCTCCCTGAGCTGAAACCCACAGTTGTTTGCAAGCTTAGAGGTTGGAAGAGTGCCACCTCGCCCCGTGCCCTGGCTGTGTGCAAAACACACGATGGGATAGTAGCAGGCACACAACCAGGCACTCCGATTCTTCCGATTCTTCCCGGAGAGGCAAGTGTGCAAGCATGGAGGGGTGCAGCCACTCACACGCGCACAGCGGGCCCCCTCCCTGACCCCAGCGAACCCCAGCCAGCAACTTTCCCGAGGGCTCCAGCGCTCGTTCGCTGCTGTTTTTCTCTGGATCAGCCCACTCTTGTTTCAAGAGTGGAGGGGGACTCTCCCTGGGGCGTTATAGGGTGTCATCTCTGGCATTTGCTCCCACTGCAGAAAAACAAGTCCCATGCAATGCACTCGGGTTTCTGAACAGCTGCCCGAGCGCCGAAACCAGACAGTCAGCAAAGCTGTCAGAGGGAGAGCAGGGACTCCCGGGGAGGGCCGCGGCGGGGGGAGGGGGGCGGCTGCCCGGAGCGCAGTCGCGACGCGGGGTGGGGGTGGGGTCCGGGGTACCCGCGCCGCGGGCTACGTTGGGGCGCTCGCGGCCCCTGGGCCGGCTGGGGTGCGGAGAAGGGGGGGAGGGCCTGGCTGGGCGGGGGTGCCCGAGTGGGGGTCGGGGACACCCGCGCCGTGGGCGATGCTCGATACTCCCGGCCCCTGGGCGGGCTGGGGTGCCGGGAAGGGAGGGAGGCCCGGGAGGGAGGCCCAGGAGGGGCGGGGCGGGAGCAGCTGTGCCTGCCGCCAGGGAGCGGGCGCGGTCCAGCGGAGCCGAGCGGGACGTGAGCGACGTGTGGCAGGCTCTGCGCAGACTGTTCTAGAGCAGTGTGGATTTCAGGGAGCGCCGCCTTCTTCCTTCCAATCACAGCACAACCTCAGAGTGAGCTAGGCACCTCTGCAAGGCAGGGCACCGCTTCGGTGCTGATGTACAGCGTGCTAAAGCCACATGCGTGGAAGACCACTATGCGGGCGGCAGTCCCCGCTAAAAGCACCCCGGATCTTCACAGGGTGGGCACTGGCCTGACCACACGACTGTCCCATGTCACTAGCTGGTGCAAAACTCCGAGGACCGTGGAGGCAGGAAACAGACACACCAAAAAAAAAAAAAAAAAAAAGGCGAGGAAGGGATGTGAGCTGTGCCGGATAAATGTCATTAATTTTAGGGGTTTGCCTAATTAAGGTGCCACCTCCCAATAGTTTCCCGGGGCTTACAGTCAGGTAATGAATTGCAGGTCGGAAGAGGCTCTAGTTTTACTTACTCTTCTACTCAGAGAGATTAAGGTTTATTGAAAATACTGTAAATGGTGACAGCGAAGACCAAGATGACTCGGTCCATTTCAGTCCGGCCTCCGGGGCTTTCCTGTCCCCTTCTGGTGCCCAGCCCCTTGGGCCTCTCAGCAGAGACGCTGGGGTGGGGGGAGGGGGGAAGACCGGGTTCCAGGTCTTAGGGATGGGAGTTGGGGGAGCAATGTGCAGCACAAGTCAAGTTTTCTAAGGGATTTAGGAAAGTGGGCGCGGTGAGGAAGGACGACCAGGGAAGCCCCCTCCCCGTGGGTGGCAGGGGTCGTGCTGGATGAGACTCACAGGTATTATCAGGGAGCAGCTTTGGCAAGGGGTGACCCAGAGACCTATGCGACACAGGCGCTCTCGTCATCTCCCTTCTGGCTTCTCTCTAAGGTAGCAGAGACCCCCACCCCCGAATCCCCCAACCTCTCTCCAACCTGTAGCCCTAAACCCGGGTCTTCAACTTGACTGTGCCTAACCTGGATCGCGTGTTAAGAATGTTGAGTGTTGGGGTCTCACGCCCAGAGAGGCCGAGTCAGTAGGATGCATCCAAGGTGATTCGGCTGCGGGGGTCCACGCACCACACTGGACGGCTCCGCTTCTTTCTTCCCAGCACCAGTGAGGTGATTATTCTGGGAAGCTGTGCCAGTCATCTTTAGAGGACGTAGGAGGAAGCTCAGAGAGTGGGACTTTTCAGCCAGAGCTGAGTTTAGGGCGTCATCAGAGGGATTGAAGGAGCAAGGCGCGCTGCTGTGGCCGACCTGCAGGGGGCGCTAGCAGGTCCCCTCCTTGCTTGCCCACCCTCACGTGAAAGAAGGCTGGATCTCGGAGAATGCGTCCCCGCCCCGAGGCTGACGTCTGCGTAGCTGCCGGTCCCGACTCTTAAAAGCCCGGGCGCCGAGCGAGGCATCCTAGCAGAGCTGGAGAGGCGACGAGCGGGAGGCAAGGCTGTCGGACTCGAGCTGGCACCCGGGGACCGCGGCTGTCACTGCGCTCCGAGCATCCTGGTGGCTTCCCGAGTAGACGAGCCCGGCCCTGCGGCAGCTGCGGGTGCAGCCCTAGCGTCCTGCCCTCTCGCCGCTCTCGTGGAGCCTCACACCCCGGACGAGCGTTCGTGATTTAGCACAAAGCACGTTTCCAAAAAGCGCACGGGAGAGCTCCCGCGCCGCGCTCCCGCGCACGCACCCCCCCTTCCCCTTTGTTTCGGGGGTCGACAGGCTGCTCTCCTCCCCAAGTCTGAATTCTTCGCGGGGGGCGGAGGGCCGCCGAGTCTAGGCTGTGAAGATGCCCTTGGAGCTGACTCAGAGCCGAGTGCAGAAGATCTGGATCCCCATCGACCACCGCCCCTCGCTGCCCAGATGTGAGTGCAGATTCGCGCGGGGGCCGGGCTGCAGGGGAGCGGCGCGCCGCGTGGAGAGCCAGGCCATTGTGTGGCGGGCGCTGGCGGGGCGCTGTAGTGCCGACTCCGCTCCTCCGGCGCGCTCGTGCCGGGCCCGGCGCCGTCCTCGGCGGGTCCCTGCGGGCCGGGGCCGGGCGCTTCCCGCTCCTCCCCGCGGACGGGCGGGTCCCGTAGCTCTGGCCGCGGGGCGGAGACCGCGCGGGCTGGGGCGCGGGCGCTGCGCCTCCTCGGGCCGGCGTCGGGGGCGCTGTGGCCCGGCCCGCCGCCCCGCCGTGCTCCGCTCGGCTCGCCGCGGGAGCGCAGAGGCACTCGCAAACTCCGAGCGCGCCCCGGCCTCCGCTCCGGAGCGCCGGGGGCGGGACGCGCAGAACCCGGCGGGAAGCCTACGCTGCGCGGACGCTGGGCCAGGGACGCCCGCGTGTCCCCCAGCCGGAGCCGCTCGCCCGGGCGCCTACCGGGCCAAGTCCCGGCCGAGGGACGCGGCGGGTCTTTCCCCACCCTTTCTCTGCCTTCGCTCCCTCCCCTGCTCTCTGCCTTTCTCTCTCCCTCCTCTCCACCTCCGTTTCCGTCGCCCCTCTCTCTCGCTTTCCATAGTTCTATCCCTTTTCTAAATTTCTATCCCGTTTCTCTCTTCTGCGTAGTTTTAATCTCTTTATATTTCTGTCTGCTCTCTCTCTACCTCCCTGTCTCCTCGCTCTCTCCTTTTTTCTTCAGTGTATTTCCTTTCTTCTCCCGGCTTCCACCCCCAGTTCCTGTGCTGGGGGCGAGAAGAGAGCTGCCTGGAACCAAGCCTGTGCTCCTGGGGCTGGGGAGGGTCCGTGGATCAGTGACCGCACAGTTGGCAGCATTTTGCGCGCGGGTGAGCGACACACAGACACACACACACACAATCCACCGTGCTTGAAATTTGCTGGCAGTTCACCTTCCTGCCCTGTCATGGGCCATAAATGCTTTGGAAAGGTTTACCTTTCATCTTGGGCTCTGTCCCTAAGCTGCGGAGAGAGGCACCTATTAAAAGGGTGGTTCGAGTGGTTTGAAGGCAAGACCTGCTCTCCAGGTAACGCACCCGGGAGTCTACCGGGTGGAGGGTGGATGGGGTGAGTCGAGTGCTGGGTGTTCTGCCTCAGCCAGGCTCAGGTTACCTGAGAGGTAAACATGGGATCCAGTGTCCAGATCCTCAAAGCGGCTTCTAGGCAGTGACGGTCCCTGAGCGCCAGGCCCCCTGCTGGCCTTCTCTGCTGCCACGTTTCTCAGGGGATGGTCACTGAGGCCATGGTGACATCTTGCCACCTCAGGCTCTGCCCAGGTCTGAATCACCAACCAACAACCCTCCCCCCCACCCCCCGTGTCCCAGACAGGAGGCAGGGAGAGCTGGCTGTGCGGTGCTCCTAGGTCATCCTGGTGATGGGGACCTGGCAAGGTGCTCTGGACCCTGGGGGCCACTCCTCCACCAGCTTACCCCCTCTGCCGGACCTGGGGTTCTCGGGGTCCCAGAAGCCTTAAGAACTGGTTTCTTTGCAAGGTAGCCAAGGGCCGGGGCTTTGCAGGTCTGTTTCTTGCTTTCAGATACACTCTTAAATAGCTTTCTGCGCTGGGGCTGACCACAGTATTCCCCGATTGGTAGTGGGGAATGCAGTGCCCTAAATCGTGAGGGAGATGTGGCCGTGGCAAGACACAGAAACAACCCCACCCTTTTTGACTTTTGAATAAAACCAGTATTTCTGGAGCAGTTTGTAAACTGTAATTGGTCGTGCAAATAAAGGTTGGTTCTCTGTACGTACACACGTGTGTTTGTAGGTAAGTGTTATACATGTGCACACATTTAGTAGTCCCCCGAGGTTCATGGTGGAGGCGTGAGGTTCCGTGTGGGGGCACTGAGATTGGCTGGCATTTGCTCAGTCGTGTGAATCGGAGACAGACAAGTGTGCGGCTATGCTTCCTTCCTCCGGGCCTCAGAGACCCATCCATTAGACGCTATCAGTCTGCACGTCTCGCACGCAGATGAGAGATTTGCCTAAAATCCCTGTGAGAACCATTAGAGCTTGGTGTGTGCCTGGGGTGGGGGGGCGGGTGCTAAAGCTGATGGATTAAGTCTCTTGTCCCCGCCCACTCCTGGAATCCCTCTGTGTGGTTCTGGGGTGTAGTCTCAGACACATTCTTCCTTATAAAAATATCTGCAGCCTGGATATTTATTACATGATCTTATTTCAAGTAGTGGTGTCTTTTTGGGTTTATATAGTCATATTTGTTTCTCGGCAGAATGGGGAAAAGAGGGTATTTCTTCTTGGGGCATCTTTCCTGGTTCCCTCCCCATCACCTTTCACCCCTTCTTTAATGGTATTTGGAAACTTGGAATGATTTTCTTCCTTCTAAACCTGTTGCCATCTTTCTAAGTGGTGTCCTAATTAAGGGTTTTGAGGCAGATTCCTCTGAGCTTTCTTAATTAAACGATGGCATGGTGGCCATTACTGTTCATGTACAAAGAACAGTAAAACAACAACAGAAAGTTCTAGATGGGCTAGTTGGACGTATTTCTGTGTCTAACGCACATCAGTTGGGTGCCCTGTTGATACACCCATGTTGTGGCAAATTCTTACAAAACCTGAAGTGTCCTTCAATTGCAAACTGTAATAGGACTTACTGACCAGCATGCAATTGATAAGGAAGTAAATGACTGACTGGTAAGGGCCAGCTGTGCGTTTAGGACACTATCACTCAAAGTGGAGAGCCTCTGTGTGGGAGTCCCGACTTTTTTGGGTGAGGTATCTATCCACTCAAAACCTGAGTCTCTACAATCTAGCTCATAGGTTATGCCCCGTCTCCTGATAGACTTTCATCCTAGTAGGGGCTCAAACCCATGGCGGGGGGAGGGGGCATTCCCACTTGAAGAAAGAAGGGAGGGGGGATGTTCAGGAGTCATCCCAACCTTATCTTTGAGGGGCCACTACAGTTTGTGGCAGGGATTCTCAGCCCTGGCTGCATGTTAGGGTTATTTGGGGGAGATCTGGGGGGAAAGAAATCCATGGTGGTGAGCCCAAGCCAAGTTGGAAGTGCTGCAGATGGGGTTTTGGGTTCAGCCACTGGTTGAGAACCGCCAGTTGAGTTTCAGGTGAAGGATTTCAGATGAGAAAGACCTAGGTGAGCCCCAGTTCTGTCCCTCACTCCGTGTGCAGTGGGACCCGTCTTCACCTGTGGGTCTTGCTTCCTCGTGTCTAGAATGATGGAAACCATAACGACTCCTGCTGATGGAGGCTGCTACAGGAAGCATTTTTTACACCCATCCCCTTGTAGTTCATCCTCCCGAGAACCTTGATGAAGCATCCCTCCATTTCATGGGCAAGGAGGCTAAGACACGGAGAGCTCAAGTAGCTTGGCCAAGGTCCAAGGAAGTGGTGGGGCCCTGCCTTGAACACTGTTTATTTGACTCTGTGCTCTGTCCTCTCAGCTGTGTGGTATTGCTTGCCTCCCAGGGTGGTCAGATGATTCACTCAAATGCCCAGTTCCTCCCTATTGCCGGCAGAGACCGTGTCCGATTAGGAGAGCCATTCGTTGGACAAGGGTTAGTTAGGCATGAGTTACAGCATGCATGCAAAGTAATGGATGATTTGGTATCCAGCAGTGGGACAGAAGAGCTTTCTGGACCTCCCTTCTCTTACCCCAGGGCCAAGTAGGTGAAAACTTCCCAGCGAGCCCTTCTTAGGTGGGGGGTGGGGGTGGGGTCACAGAGGCCTTGTGGGCAGTGCTCGGTTTGCTCTTGCAAACGTTCCTGTAGATACATGGCAGGGGGGACTCCTGCCGGAACCGTCTGGGAATTGACCCCGTCCGCATCCGCAGCTTGCCCTCTGTCTGAAACACCCCTTCCACTCGTTTCCCTGGAACTTTGCATTGAAGCATGATTACCTGCTTGCAGAGAAGAACACCAGTGACTTAGCATCTTTTGCAGTTGGCATTTTGGTGGGGTGCCTTTGGGTGGAAGGAGGCATGGGAGCAACAAAAAGTGTCTTCCAACGGTTTCTTTTCTGAGCATGGGTTGTGGGCGTTGGTGTGGTGGGTGAGGACAACTGCTGAGTGCCTGTTGGTGTCTGTGCGTTACACGCTCCCCGAGAGGCAAGTCATTGAATCTGGGGAGTAGGACCGGAACTGGAGCCCTCGAAGGCAGCCTCTGTGCAGGGCGAGGGGCTTTACCCTGGCCCATCCAGCTGACCATTTTTAGGACCGGCCACTCAGGTCGCCCCATCGTCTGCTGCTCACTGCCCTCAGCAGCCGGCCTCTTGGTT